GTGTGTGGCCAGGTGTGTGTGCCCAGGTGTGTGTACCAGGTGTGTGCCCAGGTGTGTGCCGAGGTGTGTGGACCAGGTGTGTGTGCCCAGGTGTGTGCACCAGGTGTGTGCCCAGGTGTGTGTGCCCAGGTGTGTGGACCCGGTGTGTGTGCCCAGGTGTGTGCGCCCAGATGAGGGAGCACCGGCAGCTCCCGGCTCACTGTGGCTCTGGGCCAGTGTACGTTCTACACTCAGAATGCTCACTGTGTGGGTCCTACTGCCCGGCACTGGGGGTGCACTGCCTGTCTGCTACCTGTCCTCAGCTCTCCTCTTCCAGAAGCTTCCCCATACCATCTCATGCGCCCTCCACGCTAGCCGCCTGCGCATGTGTCTGCCTTTCCCAGGAAGTGGTAAGGTCTGTGCAGGGCGGTGTTGCCCCACGGGCCCAGCCTAGCACAAGGCCAGGTCACAGTGGGCACTCAATAAACACCTGGCCCCCAGGGACACCTGCGTGTCTGTGGGCCATAGTGAACACTCCGCGTCACGTCCCATCGACAGGAGCTCAGCTCAGCGTTACCTCTAGTCCCCAGCAGCGCCTGCATTGCGACCGCCAGCACTGCCCGCGCTCCGGCTCTCTGAGCTGGGCCCGCCGCCGTCGGCACCTGTGCCGGTGACCCCATCACACTTTCTGTTACTTGGTGCTTGTCCTCAGTGCTCCCCACTTCCCAGGAAATAGCAAAAGGCCTACTAGGTGCTGACTGAGAATTCGCTGAAGGCTCCAACTTGCATGCAGGGGGGCGGGCGAGGACAGAGGAACGCAGGGAGCCTCCGGGTGATTCTGGAGCCGCAGGGCTGGAACCACGCCCGGTTGGCCAGTGCTGATGAGAATTCTTATAACCACATCCGTTACAGCTCATCTAAGTAACTCACCAGCCCCGGGCTCTCCCTTCCTGTCTTCCTGAGGCATTTTCCCGGCAGGGTGATTAGCAGGAGCCACAGGCACAGGCTCTCCCTCACAAACCAGTTTATGAAACGGAGCCTGAGAACGCGGCCGAGAACAGAACCCGGAGCCCCCGCGCCCACACTCACTCGGTGTCTGCGAGGACGCTCGTGGGCACATGGAGCAGGCCGGTGACGTCCGCCAGCAGCTGCTTCCCCTTCTCCAGGCTCAGGGGGCTGTTGGAGGAGCAGAGAAGGGCAGCGTCACCACATGGAACTGACTCTCAATCCCCGAGGAGCTGAGGGCCCTGTGCTCCCCCCACCCGGGCCTCTCACAGCCCCTCCATCCTGTCACAGTGAGCGGCTCTCAGGCCACCGGCATCGGGAGCTGTCAGCCACGATGCATCGCCTGCTTCCCAGCCACCAGACAAACAGTTCCGTGCAAGGGGACTGTTAGGTGTGTAAGGGGCCCTGACGCAGCAACGGGCTCATTGCAGCCCCAATGAAAACAGGATACGGAGGGGAAGGGGGATGAGAGAGGAGACAGAAGCAGATGCTGAAAAGCAGACCATATTTTTAAAAAACAGACACATTTTTATTTCATTTATTTTAATCTTTTAAATTTTTACTTTTTAAAGTCTTTATTGTTAAAAGTATTACATAGGTCCTCCTTTTCCCCGATTAACCTCTTCCAGCCGCTCCCATCACCACCCCATTGTCTGTGTCCACGGGTTATGCATACGAGCATACAAGCTCATTGGTTGATCTC